AGCAACATAGCCATTACGCCAACTGCTGGTCCCCTTTTTTTTAAAGAATTATTTTAATTAACTTTGTTTGTTTTAACTTGACCACAGAGAGATAGAGAAACTAAGCCGCCAGGTTCAGGACTCAAAGCACGGTTGGCCATGTGGGAATCCAAGGCCCTTAACCAGCACGCCACCTGCTGCCCAAATGGTCCCCTTTTAATAAGGACCCAGTCACACTAAAATAGCACCCACCATAATGACCTCACTTGTGTTTCTTTAAGAGGTTTTTACCTTGGGGTATGTGTACTTGCAAGAGAGAGAGAGATAGCGAGAAGGAAAGTGAGCAATCATCCCCCGGGAGGAGGGCCATGCCAAAATCCCTTCTCCTCCATCCTCCTCCTGGGATCTTGGGCACGCACACTTACCGAGTGTGATTTTCAAGCCACCAGGTCCAGGACTTGAAACACAGCTGGCCATCTGGGAGTCCAGTGCCTTAACCACTACGCCACTTGCTGGCTGCCATAATGACCTCATTTTACTTAATTACTTTTAAAAATTTGCCAAAGGAGCTACAGTTCAAGTAATGGCTGTGTCGCTGGACTCCTATGTAGTCAACCGCGGTTCGAGTCCCGGACCCAGTGGCTTAAACTCACACCGGGCGCGTGTGCGTACGTGCCCAAGATCCCGAGAGGAGAATGGAAGAGAAGGGATTGTGGTGTGGCCATACCCCCGGGGGGTGATTTCTCGCTTTCTGACTCTCTGTGTCTTTCTGGTGAGCGCACGCGCCCTATAGCAAAAACCTCTCCACAAAACATTTGCCAGAGGGCACGTGCCCTTGGGGGCCCCCCCACACACACACCATGGGGCATGGTCATGCCGCAGTCTGGTCTCCATTTTGGGCACACACACACGCACTCACCGAGTTTAAGCTGCCAAGACCGGGACCTGACCCCTGCAGTGGGCCGTGTGGAACCAGTCACCTGACCAGCACCGCTGCCTAGCCCTAACTTCACGCTTCTGTTAGGAACCTTCTTCCCCGGGTTTTGCCATAGGGCACGTGTGCTCCCCAGAGACAGACACACGGAAAGTGAGAAACCACCCGTCCAGGGCGATGGCCACACCACAGCCCCCCTCTTCCATCTTCACTCGGGATTTTGGGCACTCACACACACGTACCCAACCCGATTTTCAAGTCGCCGGGTCCGGGGCTCTCACCACGGTCTGCCACGTGGGAGTCCAGCACCGTACCCACCACGCCACCTGCCGGCCTCTCCTCTAGAAGGGGGGTTGCCGTGGCCGTGTGGTCAGTCGGGGTCCAGCGAGCATGCCTCTGTCCCCCTCCCCCTCCCAGAACTACATGAGCTGCCACGAACCCAATAAGAACAACCCGCTGCAGTGGCCAGAGGCTGAGTACCAGATCCTGGGCGGCCCCACGGAAAACAAGATCATTTTCGAGCAAAGAAACGGGATCTACGTCTTCTTAATTTCTGTCGTGGATCCCTACTACAGGTGAGCAGCTGCCGCCTCCCCTACAGGGAGCCAGGCGTCAGCTGGGTCAGCCCTTCTCCCGCTGCCTCGGAGGCCCCTGCGTACACCCCAGACCATCCGGAAAGGGGTGTCTCACGTTCCGGTGACACTCGCTCACTCGCTAAGGAAACACCTGTTTCCAGTCCACACTGGGTGCCGGGGGTCCACCAGCCACTCTGATCCCCGGGCCCGAGTGTCTGTCCCTGGTCTCCTCTGACTGGTGCTGGGACTGAGGTGGTTTCAACTGGTCCCCATGAGCCCACTCTCAAGACACTTGAGACGTCTACGGGGCGGCCTGAAAGCCACTGTGGGGGTATTTACACCAGGAGAGTGGGCAGACGCCGCAGGGCAGGCCCTTCCCCGCGGAGAGCTGGGTCTTTCCCACCCAGGGTGCCGAGAGGGCGCTGAAGGCATGTCGTGCTTGATCTACCCCACTTTCCGCCCACCTCCTGGATGCCCATGGCTCCGTGTGGCACCCCATCTCCCTTCCGTGCCATCACGGGTGGCTCTGTGTACCCCTTCCAGCCTGAGTCCAGGCCTGGGGGCTGGACCCTGTGACAGCTGCCAGACACAGAGGACGGCCGACTGAGAACCAGCAGGAACTGAAGTGGCGAGGGGATGGCCTGGTGGTTACGGGTACCGGGCCCCATGGTGCGAGTCCCTAATCTGGCAGCTTGCTTTCTCTCTTTCTCTCTCAACAAGTTAAAATAATAATAACTACTTTTGACTCCTGAGAGAAGCATAGAGAAGGGGTGGCCGTGTGGCCCTCACCCCTGGGGGTGACGTCTCACCCTCCCTCTCTGTGTCTCTGGGGAGTGCATGTACCCTATCGCAAAGAGAAAGGAAAAAACAATGCCAGGCTCACATGTGTGTGTTCCAAGAAATAGAACAGAGTAAAGGGGACCCAAGCACCCAGCCCCGCGCCCCATCCGGCGCGCCCACTTGGCTTTGGTGCTGGAACCCACAGCCGCTCCCCGCCCGCCCCCGCAGCCACTGTAACCCGC